AAGAGAAAATACTTTAGTACCTAAAATTATAATACGAAATTAAAATAAAAAAATAAAGAGTATATTTAAGCTACGAAATTTAGCATATTTAATATAAGTAAAAAAACCTGAAAGCTTTCATATTTTTATATTACGCCCAAAGGAGCGTTTTTTTCCACAAGGAATTTCAAAACGGAACTTGAAAAATGATACAGACATACAGTCATTCGACGCAAAATACCGTTAAACAGTGTAGCGTCTCATTGCTAAGTTATCAACATAATACCAGTAAGAAATGCAATAAAAAGTCGCGCATAAAATATCCATGCTTCAAGATGCAAGCGATGTTAATGTCAATGGAAAGCTTTGAAATCGTTGAGTTCAAAAATTCGTTAACATTTGACAAAATAGGAAATGGCTAATAAAACAAATTCCATATTTGGGATTTCAGATGTCGATATTCGAGCGAAGGACTACGTTATTATGTCTCTAGGTACCGTCGTTTTTTCACAATGCTGGAAACATGCATACATACATCATGCAGATTCTTAATTATTTGATTTCTTCAAATATAATGTAGAACCCTAATATTTGATGGCAACAATTTGAAAATTGATATAGAATTTTATAGTGAAGCAACGCAAAATGCCAAAACGAAATTAGTATCCTTTCTGGGCCAACGCCCATTTAGGCTAATGTATATAACACTCTATAACAAACAAATTGACGAACCAAGAAGAAATTGTCCGATGGAGACAACAATTGGTGGATAGGAAGATTATGTGTAGAATAGAAAATGATTAAAAAATCAAAAACATTGAATGATTTATTTCAAAGTTACGTAGTTACAAAGTAACGAGCTCAGTAAAGTGTTGACCTAACTCTAGCCTGGATGCAAGCTGCCACACGGCGTGGCATAGACTGATAAAGCTCCCGGAAGGCCTTCTGCGGTATTTCTTGCCAAATTTGTTCGAATTGTCAGACTAGGTCATCAACATTCCCTGATAGATGCAATAGTCTTCCTACCATATCCCAGACATGCTCAATGGGAGAGATATCTGGCTAAGGAAATGTTTAACAAGCTGTAAGATAGTTAAATACAAGCATAGTTAAATACATAGCAACACGTGCCGTATGCGGTCTGGCATTATCTTTCAGAAAAATAAGGCCAGGGTACTACAAAATGAACGGTAGCAAAACCAGGTCTCAGAAAGTCGTTGACTTATCGCTGTGCTGTAAGTAGCTCTAATGACGACAAAAGGGGTCCGGCTGTCAAGAAAAATGGAACAACAAACCATAACTTCTGGTTGAGGGCCTGTGTGGCGTGCAATAGTAAAAGCAGGATCAGCACGCTGTTCTGGGCGTCTCCAGACACGTTTTCGATGATGGTCAAGACGCAATTGGAAGCGGGATTCGTCGCTATATGCCCCAGTCAGCATTATTCCAACCTAATAGAGCCAAGCACCACAGTAATCTGGCTCGACAGTGTGCAGGCGAGAGTGGCAGGTGGCGCAACGTTCGGTACGTGCGTAGATTTCGCTCTATCAGCCGTCTGTAAAGGGTCATGGTGGACACTCGTGTACGGGTCGCACGTCTGATGGTTTAAAGCGATGAATCAGGCGCTGTGACAGCTGATTTCACAATCACTCTGTCTTCCCGATCTGTTGTTACCTTAGGTCGACCACTATCATCAAGACGTTGAAATCTGCCCCTGTCCACCCATTCTTGCCAGCATCTTCTAATCACTGCATCGCTTCGACTCATATGACGAGCGACTTTCCGATTTGCCCAACTTGCCTCTTTCAATCTAATGATACGATCTCTTTCAAACTCTGTATATTTAAATAATCAAGAATACACAGTTTTCATCAAAAATACATGTTTATTTGTGATATTTTTGTAATGATGATTTTTTTCTTTTGCACAACTCAGTAAAATGCCATTGCTTATACCGGGCGGTGGTAAATATGTTACCACCCCTATTATAAACAACAACAACAATAACAGAATTCCAAAAATAATATTTTTGGTCATAAACGAGCTACTTTTCCCTAATACTTGCATAAACTATGAATTCTGAAAATAAATGGGCTGGGCCCGATAAAGGGTTAAAACATTTATGCATAGGAAATCTCAAATAAATCGGATGATTCCTTCTTGGTGCGTCTATTTTCTTTTATAAAGTGTATTATGAAGCAATCAACGATATAGTTTATCCTCTTATGGAATGAGCGAAATATATATAATTACACAATCGAAATTAACCATTCTGTTTTTTGCATTGCAAATCATAGTAAAATTTCAATCAATGTTGAGACCAACATAATATATAAATGCATAATTTAGGCGTAAAATTTTGCACTTCGAAATCGAGAAATTTTTTATTAATAATTTCGGCGATTTGAAAGCTAGAATGGCAACACTGTTCGAAATAAAACATTTTTATCCAACTCACATGACTGTTGCCATTCGGCGATATTAGTCTTTCAATTTTATTCAACAAATGATACAGACGTATTAATGAAACCACCTTAGTAGAAATCGACAGATATGAGTGTAAACATTTTCCAGACAACCATAGTCATAATAATCCTTCAGTCAAGCAACGTCGCCATTTTGTTGTATCCCAAACGATTTTTAGAGATAAATCGTGATATTTTTTGCCTTCATCTTAGTTTTAAAATATCGTATGTGGGGTTTGCCAGCGAGTGAAGAAACTGTGACAAACCTTCTGAGGGAATGTAGTATTTTGGCAGCCAACCGTTAAAGAGAACAATGATGAGTTTGATGGATAACAGGTACGCATTGCCGAGTTTGTGTTATTCTCTGATATTCTTAAGCCAAAACAGCTGACTGTGTACGTGGGGAAAAAAAACAGGGCTAAAATATTAAAGAAGTTCTTCTCGAAAAAATGTGTTTTTAGTTTTTAAATATATCATATATTTTTTTATTTAAAAATTTTAATTTGTATCTTAATTTTTTCTTTGATAATATTTTGCTGACTTACAATAAATTTCGATAGTTTTGGAATGTTAAAAAAATGAGAAAATCGCTAACTTGTACCCGGTAAGTAATTTTTACCATTTCATCTGTAAAAGACCGTCAAATTGTGTCAAGGTGCTAAAGTTACTAAATAAGTTCTGTTTTTTTCTACGAAAAATGAATATATGATCGTTACTGTGGTGCAGATGTGATGAATGGAGGACAGACATGAATAAAGGATCAACGAATGTATTTCCTCTATATTCTAAGAGAAAATACGCATCTACGTAAAGAGCCCGAGATGAAACCAAGATTACAGTAGGTTTCTTCGAGATTCATTCAGTTATGAATTGCTTCTTGTCGTATTACTCCTGTAGCATTGTAGACTTAGCAAACCTAATTCATTTCTGAAAACTGAAGGCATTGAAGGTATAAACTGCGCAACGTAATCCTTTGACTTGATTGAGACATTGTGGACAGTCCTTGGAAAAGAAGCCTCAAAATGGAATCAGTATCAATATATAGTACAGTATCTTGAAGACCATATCGATGGATGAATGGAGCTTAATCTCCCAAACTATAACTCATCATCCTACTGTAATCATGAAATTACATTATGATATGTGTAAAAAAATAGAAAGATCATGTTCCTTATTAGTGTTAAAAGTCCGAATTTATTTTCATGGCATTCAATATATTCTAAAATTCCGTTATCAAATAAGCAGTATCAAATAAACATATTTCAAAATATCGTTATATGACATGAATTCTAATTCGAGTTTTCGCGGTTAAAGTTATGGGTTTTGATGCTATAATGTTTTCCCAATAAAAACTGCACTTTATCGAATTCTTTTGGAGAATTTAATGTTTGTTTGTATATACAAAGATAACTTCGGAGTATATTAGCTTGGCTCTTACTATTATTTTTAACAGTTCGTTTGCGTACTGGTTGGTATAGTTTCTTGGATATGCACTATGCATATTTTTAAAGTGTCCAGCTGCGGTAAGATAGCCTCCCCTCAAGGCGGATTTAGGGTTGCCAGAAAATGGTAAGACCAGGCTGTGTTGCCATATTTGGCGCGAAATCGCCGATTTCCACACATTTGGCTACAAAATTGGCGATATGCTGTGGACGGATGCAGAACATTCTAGAACGAATTCTTACCGGTTTGGCCCGCAGTGTTCTCGGAGGCAGGCTAAAGGATATATAAACCCTGCCTGTACGCGGAGTGGCAGTCTAGTCTAGTTGTCGAGTTGGTCATCGAGTGTATCGCGAGTTGGTGGATCGAGTGTGTGCATCGTTGAGTTCCGAGAACGACCGAACCGAGTCGGGAGCTGTCTTACAGTGCTTTGCTTGAAGCTGCCTTCACCGTTATAGCCTGATAGCCGGAAGGCTGTGTTGCTGATTTTCTCAGTGTGTTTGTTGTAGTTTTTCGACGATTGTAAACGCGTTTTTGGAGCTGCCCAGAGTAATACTGGCTAATAAATTATGTTTCCATTCTTCAGAAAGTGTTATCGTTAATCACTCCAAATCTACAAACCTGCAGAACGCAACAATATGATTCGCTGAACATCTGATGGATGTGAGAAAATGGAAAGATCAGTACTAATACATTCTATGTGATTTCTCTTCATCTCATGAGATTTCTTTACCACCACAATCAACTTAATTAAAGCTTTGATTTATCAATGTCCACTCAAAACTTCTAACTTTGAATTTGTTCTTTAGAAAAATAAAATGAAATCTTCTTCGCCGTGAAAAATGTTAAAAATACAACTGTCTGGAAAAATACGCTAAGAAATTGATATTATGTTTCCTTTTCTTTACATTTATAACGAAGTATGAAATAACAATGAAATATTTTTCCTTGATTTATATTTTAATATAAATCAAAGAAACACTTTTTGTAAGTCTTCATGTAATGTTAATTATATAAAGTATTTTTAATTAGGCTAATTTCGGGTAAGAACATAAATTTAAATTGTTGTGTGACTAGTAAGCCCTCAGCAACTTACTTCACATTTTCCTCTTCTTACAGATAGTCAATCACGAGCCTCTCATAAAGGTGACACCCTGAGCATGAGCGTCTTGGGTAAGAAGGGACACGGAGAGACAGCGTACGAAGTACCCAAGGACTCCCTCTACTTCCCCTCACCCTATGCAACTACCCGAGTACCCGGGTATGTCGTGGAGGAAGGCAGCGAATGTGACAGCCTCAGGTCGAGTACCAGAACTCCTAGCGATCCTCAGGGAAGCCATACTTACGATGTACCTTTTCCAGTTAGACGGGTTAGTGCATGCAGCATCCTTGCATGGTGTAAAAAGGGTTTCTTCTGGGCTCAGATATTATAAGGCAGACATTTTGGCGACGTTTGAGAAAAAACAGCAACAAAAATAATTTAGTTGTCTCGGGCTTGTAGAATTAACTCATATTTAAATTAAATAAATATGTATGAGGTTAATTAATTCAGGAGAATAATTAAGACTAAGATAAGAAATAATGGTACATCACATAAATTTTGTCTAAAAAATATATAGTATAGTGTGTTCTCAGAATCTGGAAATGACAACCTGATAATTTTATTAATATATGAATCAGCTTAGATCTGAATAGATTATAAAAATCCATTCATGCTGAGCCCGAAAGATCAGCCAATACTGTAAAACCGTATACCTTTTAAGCACTATCTACTTTTTACATAAGTTAGGTGAATTAGCATACTGCTATAAAAGCAGTGGCCATTCTAGAAGAAGAATTACTCACAATCAAAATATTTAATTATCACTGGTGGTAATGATCAGTAACGAAGTAAGATCTAGATGTTTAATCTTATAAAAGTCTCTGAAAAAATCTGGGCTAACTCAGTGTATAAATTATTTATTGCAAGGAATGTATTCAAATATACATTTAGTATAAATCTTGCATCTGACTGAGTTGCATAAACAGCGTTATGCCCGTTTAAATCCAGTGGGTACCGTTAAACCAATAAAGGGCACCGTTTAAATCCAGTGCCCTAAAAGTTTTCGTAAACATGTCCTTAGGTGCTACAATATTTTTGTTGGCTGCTGATTTCATTAGAGATGGAGAACAAAACTGAAGAATTTATAAATTATCTTTAATTTCTATTACACTCCTAAAAATTTATTCATTAAACATTCAGCAATATTTTTTATTATGCCAAAAAGGAATAATGACAGATCCCCCTCTTTTGACTGCAAAACCTCAGGATAAGGATTCAAACATCATATGTACTTTTTTATTATTCTTAAGGAGCAATATAAGAAATGTTATCAGAAATGGCAAATGAACAAAATTAAATAACATTGTTTAATTTTTTACCTATCATCAAGTAATTGGTGGCTGTAATAAAATGCTCATCAAAAACTGAGGAAGAATGCAATTTTTAATAATAACCTCAGTGGAATTTACTCAATAATATTTTAGTTTTAGAGGTTCCAAACACGTTACTAGTATAACAATTACTTGGTTGTAATTTGATTTCTCCAATTAGTTTAAAAAATCACATTAAATATGTTTAAAAACCATTGAATAGTAGCAACTGGGAGAAGTCACATTATGTTATTTTTGTTATGGATGTAATCGCACATCCGGTATTATGTTACAGTATTACTTCATGATTTTAAGATATATATATAAAACATGTATAACTCACTTATATATAACAATCATAAGTGCCTTATATATATGCTTATTAGTTTATACATATCACCCCTATACATAAAAAAACACGTGTAGTACATTCAGGCTGCGAATCATTTTTTGAAATTTGTTTCTGAAAACTTGCCGCTTACACATTACCATCTACCATGCATTTTTGTACTTGTTGAGGCTCCATAACTTCTGGATAGTTGATTATTCGACAGTCATGCAAAAGGAAACAATTTATTTTCAAAGAGTTTCCCGAGCAGTTTTGCACCCGAGCACTCCAAAGTTCGTTGAAACGCGTTGTCTAATTACAACGACAAGGAGCATTGTTTACTAGGTAATGAGAAAATAAATCCAATTTTAGAATAAGAAAATGTATGAAAAGGTTTATAATCATTACTGAAAATTTTTACAAAAATAAGTACATTTTCTTAGAAATTAACTGAAACGAAAAGAGGGCACGTTTTGCTTGATGAAGAATTGGTTCTCTACAAGAGATTTTTTCAACATAAAATGCAAACAACATTGCTGCAGGAAACGTATCAATGCGTTGTGTTTAAAAGGCGTTATTACTAACAGAATTAAAGGAAAACTGTTTCTAAGAACCATCGGTGCTTTGTTTTTAATAAGCAATGCAATGTTTCTTCTTTACTTTACTGAAATTCTTAAGATATAAATCTTAAAATGTGTGATCGTAGGAAAAAATACCTGTCCCTTTCAAGTTTCATGTTATTCAACCTCTTTGTTTTGTAACCTAATTTATTTTTTAAAATAAAGAAATTTAATTTTTAAAGTATGAGCTATTAGTGTGTTATATTAATAATAAATTTAATGATAGAAGTTTTTTTCTTTAATAAATCATATAAAAATAATTTTCTTCTTCCACTTCATGTCAAGTTTTGTTACCTTGAGATTATTGTATCCAAAATTAGTTTCTAATCTGTCTAAAAGATGCGGTACGTATCCAGTGGCATAGATAAACTAATCAAGCTAAGTTTGACTTCCATAAATATGTTTGTTTTCCCCTTTATGCGGTTTTACGAACTAATTGGGTAAAATAATCTCAAGGTAACGGATTTGAGATGAAGTGGAAAACAAATTATTTTTATTGAACTGCTAAATTTTTATCTAAAAATTGTCAATTGATTTTTTTATATTTCAAATTGTATAATTATATTTGTAGTCATTTTATGTAATGCATTGCTCAAATTTTAAATATTAATTTATCTTGAATTTCCTTTCTTTTCTTCTGGGACAGCATACGTAAGCGAAATTTGGAAATAAGCCATATATACTTAGTCTTCTTCTACAAATTAGCTGCTTTTTATTATAACTAAATAGAAATTAAGTATCTAGGCTTTTCCTCTAGAAACGTGCTTAGCGCTTTTTAAGTTTCTTAACATTTACAGTCGATTTTCTACATACATAAAATTATTACTGCCATTCCAAGCTTGATATTTTTAAATTAGCACCATAGGGTCCCATAAAAGGAATAATTAGTGGACTATTAATCTCAATTCTAAGAATATTACGCTAGGTTATACATCTATAAAGCTATATACACACGTGCTTTAATATATAACAGAAGCGAGAACGCACATATGCATTACACAAACGAGCGTTAATATATAACAGAAGCGAGAACGCGCATATGCATTAAATACACAAACGAGCGTTAATATATAACAGCAATGAGAATTAAGTGTTTACCTGAAACCCTATTGGACACTTGAATGTGCAGAGGGATTACAGCATTCAAAAGTCAGCTATTGCAAAATTAAGTTATTAAATTAAATTTTCCAAATTAAATTATGTCTAAAAGATAGAAATAAGAATATGTAATAAATCAAATGTATTAAATTCAATAAAAACTGTGAATCTGAACAAGAGGGCAACCATAAGAGCAATATTCATCATAGAATGCATGGTCGGAAAGCAAACTGTGAGAAGTTAAAGTCAATATAAAAATAATTTATCTTCCACTTCATGTCAAGTTTGTTACCTTGAGATTATTGTATCCAAAATTAGTTTCTAAATCTGTCTAAAAGATGCGGTACGTATCCAGTGGCATAGATAAACTAATCAAGCTAAGTTTGACTTCCATAAATATGTGTTGTTCCCCTTTATGCGGTTTTACGAACTAATTGGGTAAAATAATCTCAAGGTAACGGATTTGAGATGAAGTGGAAAACAAATTATTTTTATTGAACTGCTAAATTTTTATCTAAAAATTGTCAATTGATTTTTTTATATTTCAAATTGTATAATTATATTTGTAGTCATTTTATGTAATGCATTGCTCAAATTTTAAATATTAATTTATCTTGAATTTCCTTTCTTTTCTTCTGGGACAGCATACGTAAGCGAAATTTGGAAATAAGCCATATATACTTAGTCTTCTTCTACAAATTAGCTGCTTTTTATTATAACTAAATAGAAATTAAGTATCTAGGCTTTTCCTCTAGAAACGTGCTTAGCGCTTTTTAAGTTTTCTTAACATTTACAGTCGATTTTCTACATACATAAAATTATTACTGCCATTCCAAGCTTGATATTTTTAAATTAGCACCATAGGGTCCCATAAAAGGAATAATTAGTGGACTATTAATCTCAATTCTAAGAATATTACGCTAGGTTATACATCTATAAAGCTATATACACACGTGCTTTAATATATAACAGAAGCGAGAACGCACATATGCATTACACAAACGAGCGTTAATATATAACAGAAGCGAGAACGCGCATATGCATTAAATACACAAACGAGCGTTAATATATAACAGCAATGAGAATTAAGTGTTTACCTGAAACACCTATTGGACACTTGAATGTGCAGAGGGATTACAGCATTCAAAAGTCAGCTATTGCAAAATTAAGTTATTAAATTAAATTTTCCAAATTAAATTATGTCTAAAAGATAGAAATAAGAATATGTAATAAATCAAATGTATTAAATTCAATAAAAACTGTGAATCTGAACAAGAGGGCAACCATAAGAGCAATATTCATCATAGAATGCATGGTCGGAAAGCAAACTGTGAGAAGTTAAAGGTCCACGGTCACATTTAAAGACATTTTAACACAGAAATGAGAGGATATACTACTTCAGGAAACATTTCATTAACAGAACATGCTCTTAGAAATTGCTCAAAACGCGTTCCAGCTGTAATGCAGGTTTTACACCTGCGGGATAGGGATTGACGCACATTTGGGAAGACACCAGGCAATTCCCGAATATCGCCTGCAGGAAGGGTGGCCCTTGACGACTAGACCCATAATGGTTTCAATAAGGCACTCGTACATAAGACTTTTCATATGGCCCCACACCTAAACTTCCCAACACGAGAGATCAAGGTAGCCAAGCTATCGGACCGCCTCTACCAATCTATCGTCTTGAAATTCCGTCGTGTATAACCAGGCATCCTCTAGGCCAGCGTTTCCCAACCTTTTTTGGCCAAGGCACACTTGTCGCGGGGAAAAAAATCACGAGGCACACCACCATTAGAAAATGTTAAAAAATTAACTCTGTGCCTATATTGACTATAATAAAGTAATTCTCTTGAATAGGAATCAAATAAGCACAAAGAAAGTATTTTATAATTACTTTATTATGAAATAT